GCTTCGCGCGTCCATTAAAGTCTTCATATGCAGGTCAACTCGATCACCTTGAACGGTCACCAACAGTTTTCTCTCCTCGTTCCCGGGCAAGCTGTTAAGTAGGCTATATTTACTTGAGAAACGCAAGCGAAATGCTTTTGATATGATGATTCTTCCAGTTGCCTTTTGACAAGATAACCACTTCAAGAGCTTCACTGTGGTATAGGTTTACTCTTAGCTTAGCTTGGGTAATAGAAATCTCGAACACTTGTCCACCTTAGACTTTGCTGCAGAAGCGATTATCGTACTTGAGCAACTGGAAGAACCTGTAAAATAATGTGGGTTTTCTTGAAGAATGTTTTTTATTCTGGCAATGGGCATGAAAGTGTCTTTACATTTCAAAAAAATTATTTATATAATGAGTAAAATCGCGTTCCTGCACTGCACTTTTGAGTTAGACATTGATGATGACGGAGTGCTGAAAAAGCTGATAAATACAATAATAAATCACAATGCCGTCAACGACTTTCTAGATTTTACGTCGAGAATAAGATAAAAAGCATAAACGATCACCACTTTGAACTATAATCCTTACGCGACGATCTGACCTTTGTAAGAGACCTTCCGATGCGAAAATCATGCTCGCTTTTAGCTTCGACTCAAAGTATCTCATCTCATGATGAAGTAATGAAATAAAATGAATAACGATGAATTAAGTATATGGGTAATGAATAGCAATGAATAATAATAATGAATAATGAATGATGATGACGTAATTGTATGCAATAAAAATTTTGAATAACAACTTTTGCTAACATGGTAGATTAGAAGATTTACGGTAGAACACGGTAGATTAGAAGATGTTGTGGAAGATTAGAATTTTTATTTTTCAATAATGAGGTGTTATCATTCCATCTTCGTCCAAGGGTTCGCATTTTGAACACAAACATTTGATCAAACCAAATTTCGTTCACAAAAAAGTGATAGCGCTTCTCAGTGTCTCATTTATGGTTGAACTGTTGCTTTTGCGTTAACAATCTTAAAATTGATCTAAATTTTACTTTGAATTCAAACAACGTTTCCAACTGATTGAAGTCGTTTAGGCTTAATCATTTTAATTTGAAAAGACATCGTACGAAAAAACCTTATGCATTTTTGTGATAAATCAAGGCCTATTCTATAATTATATAAAACACTGAACACTTAGAATAGTTTAGTGATCAATCAGTTATCGGAATATCTGACCCGTTATTAAAAGGGTAGGTCAAAAAATGTGCTAAGCTTTACTAGTATGATTAATTCTAGGTAAAGCGTATACTCATTCAAACACAAGCTTATTTTAAGCTTCTTTTGCTGGACAGAATTTCCACGGATTTTGTCATTCACGCGATAGCTTGAGGAGGGGATTTTGGCTCAAAATTTGTTTCCTGAGAACGCCTTCTTAGTGTGCTGTAGCAACCAAAGCAAGACTACACTTCGCCTTTGGAGTAGTTACCCTGTAACTTGAACTCCATAATTGGTTTATTCGCAATCGTTACAGTATAGTTTATTTGTTAGAAGCACTTTATCGTCACCAGAAGGTGAAGTTTCACGAAGGCAACGTTGGCGAAAATATTTTCAGTAGAAATAATACTCCAGAGTGTCGAAATTCTCCATTAATCAAGAGTAAAACTTCATCTTCAACCCTTACTCTACATTTCTATTGCCTGCGTTACAAGAATTTCATTTGTAAACATATAATATAGGAAGTAGGACTTCAAAAGACTTGCATGGAGGCCTTTGCAAATTATGGCTGCAGTAACCTTCATAAGGACACTTATTCATTATTATGGAAGAGCCCTGGAAAAATGCATCTTGCTAACCTCTGTTTTTATATCATTCGATTATTCACGCATATTTCTTGTTCAAAATACTTATTCAACAGTCAACAATCCATGCAATTATCAATCAGAAATTATTTTATTTGACCGTTATTGCGGTATTATGATGTTTCAATAAATTCCAATGATTTAGAGTGGTGTGCAAAAACGATAACGCGTTGTAGCGTAGAAAGAGTGGAGTGCAAAACGAGCATCGGTGCTGCAACGGTTTAGCACATGCTCCCGGAAAGAGTAAGATCTGGGGTTCGAATCCCGGCCGACGCAAACGTTTTTGCACACTGTCTATACAACTGGCGTTGGCCAACAACAGACCCCAAAAGATCAGTACCGTTCAACAACCTACCCTTAATTCATAGACTAGATATTGCTCACATATAATTGACATTTGGCACATCGTTAAATGATCAGATGTTAGTATACAACATAGATTGAGATACCTAAATTACTAAAGGGATTGAATATCCAATGAATCCAAATAAAACATGATGAATGAACGTCTTCGTTCAAGATGGCTACACGAGTACGTTTTCTGGCATTCCCTCGAGCATATGCAACATATCCACTTTCTGTCAACTTTCTGTACCATTCACCACAAAGTTTAGATCTCGGTAGAAACCGCTATACTCTAACCCACCCATCTAAGTATCACTACGCAGCTTTCACTGTTCATGGCTAAAGACTATCTCTTGTCCAGTTTCACTTGAATGATTTCTTTTCATAACCTAACCCTGTCTTTCTGCACGTCCAAGTCAAGTATGTTCTTCTTTGGAGCTAACTCTCAGCTAGGGAAACTTTAGCGTGCCAGTTGTTGGTGTAGAGGTGCTTTCGTTCTTCGTCTATTGAGCTTACCCAGAATACTATACGCAATATCGCCAACAGTTCAAGAAACTATGCCTTCATGTGCACATATCAACGTTTTGTAAGTGCATAATGGTTCAAGACCGGTTGAGAATACTCCGTGCACTTAAGCACTACGTCGCTTTGAACACCGTCGTTTGACAAAGGGTATGGTTCTGGCAAAAGCACATCCTTTGAGCACTCGCCGATTATCTCTTATCTTTTCAACTATATTCTTCATCGCTTGAGTCATTACAATCTAGCATGTGTTACGAGTGCAGTGTTTTCCATGCTGCTATCGCTTTCGTCACCAACCTACTCATTGTGACTGTATTTCAGTAAGCGATCGGGACTACAGTTGAACAACTCTGATAGAGGCCTATGTGAAGTTAATTGTACTATGTAGCTGGAACAAGTTAAGGAAGACTGCGATCATCATTGCGGAGAAAACGGTACTTTTTCTGTAAGCATCCATATTCAAAAAAAAAAGATTTTTCGCTCTTTATAGGCATTGTAATAATCGTTTAACAGCTCAAATCTCAAGAATTTTAAAGCTGTATTTTATTTTTTTGAAAAGCTTTTGTACTACGATGTAACCCTAGAAAGAAAATTTCATTCCACACTCGAGCATTTTTCGTTGAGCGAAGATTTCCTCAATTGATTCAGCAATCATTCGACAGCACAAATTTCGACAAATTTGAGACAAATTTGATAGTGTTTTTCGCGGATTTCAATGGTGTGCTTACTTTTTGTAAAGAAATCTTTTAGTGCTTTTAGCGCGCTGCCGCAGTAAGAATGAAATGAATGAAATTGTTTGCACACTTGAGCACTTATCGTTGAACTCAGCTTTTCAGTCAGACTTCCACTAAGTATTCGGAAAGACAAATCTCAACTATTTTGAAGATATGCTTGGCTTTTGGGAGAAAATTTTTTAGCGTGCTGTAGCCGTCAGAAGAATATTGAGCTTTGCATGGTTTCGCAAATAACCCCTATATCGCAAATAGCGCGGTGTATTAAGAAATCCCATTCACATACCGGAGCAAGGAGCGCGCGCCGAGTGCGAAACCCAACTTTTATTTGGTTGCTGCAGCTCATTGAAAAGTCTTTCCCAATAACCAAGTGTACCGTTGGAATTTCCGAGATTTTCGATATCAAATGGTTATTGAAAGACTGGAAGAAAAGGGCATCGGAACGCAATCATCTTAGTCTTGTAATTGGCGAAGCCTCGCTGGGCTTTGCGAATGCTCTTCCCATCTTCTGCATCTTCTGCCATAATACTGCTCGTCTCTCTTTGAGGTCTTATTTTGTGGCTTCTCTGCAGCGTTCCGCCAGTTCGGGCGTAAGATTTCGGTTGCCTATAGCTCGTACAATTTTACGTTGACGTATCAGCTCGAGTATTTGCGGAGACAAGCGTCTCTTCTGACCTTAGGACTCCGGCTTTCGTAACGCTAACGTGAAGATATTCAACGAGCCGATCCTATTGTTCGTCGATGTTGTCGACATAGGTATCTTCCCAAGAGCCGACTAATGATTTGAATACATCCTAGTTTATGGTAGTTCTGGGACTTCGTTGTTTGAATTTAGCAGCTTTCCCTCCTCTCCGCGAAAAACGGAGCGTTGTGCGAAGAAGGCGATGGTCTGATCTCGTGTAAAACTTAAGAACAACAGCAACATCAGTCAGGCAAAACCTTCAATTCACCAAGATGTGGTCTATTTTGTTATGGTACTCTCCATTGGGAGATTCCCACGTCCATTGTTGAGAGCGAGGCCCTAGGAACTGAGTTACCATGGATGGTTCAGGGCGTCATGGTAGACTCTGATAGCCTTTCACCCTATTTATTCCATTCTGGTCCGTGAGTCCTAGTGTGACGTTCTTCAGACGTTCTCCTAGGTCCAATTTTTGCGTTAAAATCTCCAGCAATGAGCTTGAAAAAGGTATGGCCTTCTCTGAAGAATCTTTCAAGGTCCATATAGAACGCTTCGACTTCGTCTTCGTCCATAGCCTGATGTTGATGCCTAAGCCACGAAGATAATCAAAACCGGCATTCAACCACATCGTTTCAACCGTAATCCCGATATGGGTTTTTAGTTAATCAAACAAAGTGGTGTTCACGGTCAAATTCGATTTAACAAGGACGCCAACGCGGCCGACACCTCTGTTAACGTATGTTCCAAGAACTGTTCTTCTTCTAAACAGCGTGAAATTGGATGTCGTCTTCTCGTCTCAGGCCAATGAATTCGTACCTTATCCTTCCTGCTCAAATCAATAGATCTTCTACAGCGGATGCATGAACAAGTGTTCATGCGTTGGTGGTGCAACGGCTCAGCACACACTCCCGGAAAGAGTGGAAAATGGGTTCGAATCCAGGCTGACGCAAATGTTTTTACACAGCACTCTACATTGTTGGGTATATTATAAGCTCGCGCCACCTCAAGAGGAGGTCAAATAAAATGAATTTCGACTGTTCTTGCATTGTAGGTACAGATCGTCATTTTAGTCCGTTTCCATTTTGGCTGCCTAGTTTGGCCTTGAGATTTTAGCAACCTCTCCGTACTCGTCCTACCTGGCGCTGCCATACCAGGGGCTCTTTCGGGGTCAGGAAAATGGGGCTCATATTTGTTGCTGTTTTTAGCATTTTAATACATAAAACTTAGTTTGTTAGTTTCTCTCGGAGGAGCAGGAGGAGCTTATTTGTTGGAGACGATTCCTAACTGCCTCCTATATAGTTCCCAGCCGCATGATGCAGGCTTTTGACCGATTTGACTCGTAAAAATAGAGTTTTGTAAAATCGGCGCTACAGAAGCAGGGAACCTGCCCTCTGAATCCACCTGCGTCTCTGGGAAGCACACGGTCGCTTGTAGTTCGCGTTTATTTCCCTATCCACCACGTGGGGACGCGCCACGTGCCCTTGCGCCTGACCGGGCGGGATCCCTCAAAGAGGGGGATCAGTGGCAAATATTAGATATAACCAATGATTTTGACCGATGTGCGAAAATCTTGACATCAGGCGGGACGCGAACCCGTTACACCCATTTCTGAGGGCACGTGACTGACGAACCACTGACGCCTATTTTACTATCACTCTTTCTTTTGAGATATTGAAAGGACGCTGAATGGTTATGAAAAATGATAATTTCCTCTTGATGCATCAATGATTGTAGTAGCGTCGCAACTTATGATGCATTTCGTGGAATTCACAATTTCACCAGAACTAAACGGGTTGAAGAAAAAGCTCTTTTCTTTCATCATTCATTCTACCTGATATTGTACGTTTGAAGTCATAAATGAACAGATTTTATTCACATTTGATGACAACTGAACAAAGAACACTGCTTTAAACGTTGTCGACCAGGGTACAGATCCGTGCATATGCACAAATTTTGACCTCTATCGTAACTGAATCAAAGCAAAAATCCACTATTTCTATCGTTTTTTACCGATGGAGAGTGGTCAATCGCCAAGAAATGAAGATACATGGGAAAACAGGCGAGTCTCTTCCCATTAGTTTTATTGCTGAATAAATAGTGCCAAAAGTGGTGGATACCAAGCTAAATTTTTTTTTGATTGTTACTTTCAATGGAGCATGCAGTATAGTGGTTAAAGGTGTCACGTATAATTGTTAATACAAGTGCTCATCAGCTCATGAAAAAAACGTGGAGTTCTATCAACGTTTAAAGATTAAAATTTACCTTAAAATCAACACTGCTACTACGACTAACGTTGTTGTGTTTATTATTATTATTACTTTTACCTTAAGAGTACTGAGGTACGAGTCAAACATGGAACATGATGTTTTTGTGCAATGAATCAAAACGATCCACGCATTTACAATGTAGTGCGCACAGTGCTATGAAAAATACAATCAGGCGTCAATTAAATGTTAGAATTATTGCTGTTATTATTACTATAATTAACGCTATTATTAGGTGTTCTCACAAATCTCAACATTGGAGTAATAAACACCAAATTTATCAAGCAAAAGTGATTAAATTGCATAACAGCACTATTCAAAGTATGCGCCGTCATCCCAAACACATTTCTGTCAACTCTTAAGCAGCAAATCAATACCGCGCTCATAGAACTCGTCATCCTTGGATTCTAAGAAAGTGCCAATTCCCAGCGCAAATAATTGATGCTTCGGAACTTCTTCTTGCATGGGAAGTACTCCAGCGACCGGAAGAGGTGATAGATAGACGGCGACAAATCAGGACTGTACGGTGGATAATCCAGTAACTCCCACTCCAGTTCGGTCAACTTCCTGTTCGTCAAATTGGCGACATGCAGCCTTGTGTTGTCTCGGAGCAGGTGAGATTAAGGCAAATTTGACATTACAGCGTCCGATTGCAGCTGTTCGTCTGGACACAAATCCTTTAGCTTTTGCACGGTTGTTTTTGAAGGCAGTCTGTGCATTGCGTCTCAATGCGTACTCGTAAAGCAGCAAATTGCGATGAAGGCCTCGCTGAGAGGCCATGATACGGCAAGTATGGGCAAAATTGGTACCAAACGATGGCAGAAATGTATTCAGGCCGATGGTTCATGCTTTGAATAGTGCTGTTGAGCGATCTCAATTACTCCTGGTTAATAAATTTGGTGTTTATTGCCCTAGTACGAAAACTTGTAAGAAAACCTTATATTATTATTACTATGGTTTTTATTAATATCCTGAATATGAGCGAAACAAATTCCACTTCTTTCGATAGAGACATTTTCAAACACTTCCAAGCCTAGCACCGACCGCTCATAATGCACGGAATAATACCGCTTATATTCGAAATTTCGAGTATTTGAGTGCATTTCTCGTGATTCATGATTATTCACATATTCTTAAGAGAATTTAGTGGTTAGCAAAAACACGGCCTCTGTCAGGTATTGAACCCGCGTTTCACCCTATCCGAGGACGCGTGCTATACCACTGCACCACCGAGACACATTTGCACCACCACTCAGTATTCAACATCTCTATGTTAGCTATCAGCCACCAACATTTAACAGGCTTGGTCGGATATGCGAATTCGCTTTATAAAGCCAGTTGAGCTGAGAGCTACTGTGATAGCTAGTATTCGAAAAGCCTAGTAATTTTACTGTTTTCTTCGCAGTGTTATAATTATTCATATATCCTAGGAGAATTGGGTGGTGAGTAAAACCATGGCGGCGGGATTCGAACCCGTGTTTCATCCTATCCGAGGACGCGTGCTCTGCCACTACACTACTGAGGCACATCTGCACCATCACTCATTCTTCAACATTCTATGTTAGTTATGAGTGGTGGCGCAAATGTGCCTCGGTGGTGCAGTGGTTGAGCACGCGTCCCCGGATAGGATGAAATAAGGGTTCGATTCGCTCCTGAGGTCGTGTTCTTGCTCACCTCTCAATTCTCTTAGGAATAATATTGCTTACTCCGGTTACTTCTTACAGAATCTGTTTCGAGATGTCAGAAAGATACAATCGAAGGAAAAGTGAGCGTTCTGTGTAGTGTTTTCACTCTCTCACACCTATATCGATTTACAGTTTCTTTTTGCTCTTTGTTTTGGTACGAGTGTAACAGAAGCATTCACATGCACCGTATTAGTTAGAGGTGCCTTGAATTGCATATAAAATTGTTCGTTGAATTCCGCGCAGTGGGCATATCTGTCGTTGACGAAGTGGTATTGAGCTTCCTTGTGAGAATAGAATATTAACATTGTTAGGGCATCACATACAACTTGGCGAAGCATGTAGTCAATCGCTACTTCGCTGCCAATGGAGCGAAATGCATAGTGCATCACTGAGCTATTGATCACCTCCGTGAGCCTTTTATTTCAATATCATTAAGAAACGCGTCTTACAGAAATCTGAAAGAACATCAGTCTTCATCCAAAGCTAAGCCGAGATGCATCAAATGCCGCAGTTTTTGTAAATCAAACCAATGGCGACAGTCCTAAGTCCACGACGATCGACAAATAAATACCTTGTAGAGGTTCGCTGACTCTTTTCCTGATTCTGAAGGTTTCTGACAACCGATGTGTTGTCTACTGAAGTTGCAAATAATAAACCATCAACATAATTTCTGATCTGTGTATTGATAGTAAGATAAGTAATCAAAGCAGTAACAATCACGTTAATCATGGAAGATCTTCTTTTCTGGTAAGTCCCATTTTGCTTAATTACTTCACCGTGATCGAGAGATGGATGAGTTACTCGAAAGTCTTCGTGACAAGATTCACAACAAAGTAGGTGGAGTTTTTATTATCCGAGTGCGCCGTGCTAAGATGAAGCTACTGACTAGATTACATCTGAAGAGTACTAATAGTCTGTTCTATCACTAACCACTGAACAGCTGTCTGAAATAATTGTCCGGATCGAATTTTGAAAAAGGATTACGATTCTCATTGGCTCTCTTGGCATTATTGGCAGAAGACGTCGTACGTGCCGCTCATGGTATCGAAAATGTTCCTCGATGCCATACTTTGTTCTTTACATGAGGTCTCTTTAAATAACTTTCTTCACCACCGTAATATAATCCAAACAGAAAATGATAGTTCAGTCATTATCATCAAGTTTTTCTCCTTCCGGTCAGGTATTCTATGAAGAACCATTTTTGATCATGGTCTTCGGAGGTCAGACTCGGCCGTATGTTTCATGGAGACTCATAGCTTCAGTTCGTGACCTTTCAAAGCATCTCCGTGATCGGAAGGTCTTTTTTGGCGATGCTCTGGTAACACTGCGAGCTCCTATTATTGATTCATGCCCAAAATTAATATCACAAACGAAAGAAATGGATTCTTGCTGCGATCATATTATTCCAGACAGTCTAAGCGTTCAGATGGGTGACATATTTTGATGTCTCTGCGCTCTTGCTATTATCACTTGTCAGGAAATAGCTGAGAAACGCTGCAGAAAGAGCATAAAGAATTGTGTGAACAGAAAAAGACGTGAAAGCTTTGCGATCTTGATGGAATGAAGTCAATAAATCTACCTGCGCTTTCAATTTTTCTTTCTATGATATTTAGCTCAATGATGATTTACCGCCTTCTCTTTCTTGATTACATGTGTACACGTTGAACTACGAAAAACACCTTATATGGAGTTCTGTGGAGTGCTACGCAAAATGATGTTCAGCATCGTCGTGTCAAACCTCAGGCAAGAGTAAGCCATGCGACGCCAGAGCTCAGTGGGCTATTAGTGGCAGCTTCATATCAAAGAGAAGTGAAAAAAAGTGTGTGCTACATCAAAGTGTGTTCTTTGTGCTTCTTGTTTCGTGCCTTTTGATCAGTCGGAATAATCGGCATCCTTGTGAATGGTGAAGACAAGCAGAGTTAATTGGTGCTCGAATGAATTATTTTAGGGTTGACACACTCAATTTTGAGTTGAAAGATTATGACTTGCTGCAGTTGATATCATTGTTCATTTAGAGCTTCTTAGGCTGTGCACTCTTAAACCCATTTTTACAATGAAAGAAGGATCATGGATCGTCGCTGATGATTTCAATCCGAGTTGGGAGAGTGCTGTTGGAACGTAGTGGAAACTCATAAACAACTGATCACAAAACTGTTTTCGGTGTATTAATACTATATGCTATTCTTTCCATTTATGCCTTGGAATGACAGCGACGAGAAAGGGATGCTATGCAAGGTTTTGTAAACTTTTTGGTAAAGAAACATGAAGTACGGCAGAAGAAAGGGTAGCAGTTTTTTTTAGATGGAAATGGGCATGGAAAGACAGATTTGTTGGTCCTCTCTTCATTGAGACCACAGTAGGCCAACACTTATTGTTTGGCGAACTCGTTAGTGTTTTACTGAGTCGCCTGTCACTAGAAAGTTTATTCTAGATTTTTTTATTACTGCGGCCATCTCGATGTGCCAGACCCATCAATCAGCGTGAAACTGGAGCGTTTTCTTACCAAAATATATAGTTCCGCGCCCTCACAGCAAACACAGTGATAACTTCTTGATGGCATAGTCATATTGGGGAGCAGACCGTACAGTGGCTATACGTGCTCTGTGACACAAACGTGGTCAATGGTGATGGCTCGTCTCGCATGCCCGAATCACTAAGCCCTCCAACATTCGAGGTCGCAATGGATACCACACTTGCCTGAGAGGATAGCAGTACTGACCTGATATATCGGTAGAGCACTGTAAGTTATTGTAAAGGTCATACATGCATTCAATCACTCCCAAAAAGTCGAACGCTCGACATATACCCAAAGAATTGTTGCCAAAACTTGATAATTACACTTTTATCATTCCATTATTCCGATCCCTCAAATAATTTTCGTATCTCGTTAAGTTCTACGTATCCGATGTTTCCTTCTATGTATGTTCTCATGTACGTCACCACATATTGCGTGTATGGGGAAAAATTGGTCTTTTAATAACTAAGGTGTTAAAATTAACTAAGGTGTTAATAGTGTTTACATAGGTTGTCCAAACCGTAATAAAAGTGTACTTCTGCGATCAATTACCGCTTAGCTTCCACTGTCCGAATGGCTTTTCGCAAGTATATCTGATCGAAAACAGCTGTATATGAACCCATCCCATCAAAATAAATTCATGTCCGAAAGTTAGATTGACGAAAGAACGTCTGGCAAAGATCTAGCAGCTAAATAGATTGGGCAGAATTGTCCATAGTGAAATAAAATTGTACAGTTTGAAATGTAAGGCAGAGAGCATATCGAAAGCAATGATATGGTCGTGAAACGCTTGAAAACACGAGCAAAAGGAGAAGACCCCGGCAATTAATCTTTGTTTTGAGGACAAATTCATAGCTGTAAACGCGTTTTAGAGAATTTTCTGAAATATTCTGGAAAGGATAAGAATTACATTAACGCCGATAGAGTGACAGAAAGTAGAAATTTCTATCATAAAGACTGTATTACCGATGTGGAAATAGAAAGAAAACTTGCTGACTGCGTAAATAAAAGAATGAGCACAACAAACATCACTTTTCGTGTTTATCTATTAGGAGTGTCTATACTTTTTCACGTCATTCGGTAAAAATCAAGCATAATCTGTGTGGTTTGCCAGTTTATCTGCAAATTATTGTATATGATTCTTTGAAAAAATTAGTCATTTCTCATCGTTCGTCAGGAAGTGCTAATTATTCGATTTGTGTGCTTCTCAAATGTTATCAACGTCTTCAAAAAGTGCTGCAATAATGGAAAGTATGGGAAACTATGCATGACTAATTGCTTACTAACCGTAACATGATCTTTTCGTGGAAAAGAGCTATCGTGATGATGATGGTGATGATGATGTTGAGGCATGTGAATCGAGCGGAGCGAGTCAAAATGATGCGATGACAGTCTCTTCCAGTCAAAGAGGACTAAACGAAAAAGTTTTGAAAAACACATTTTTATTAGGCAGACGTGTCCTAATAGAGAAATATGCGATCTGTAGCAGAAATTGCTATTCAGCAACGGAAACCGACAGAGCGTTTGAATACGGAAATAACATTGAAAGGTGAAAAATGAAAACGCTGCAAAATCTCTACTACTACGACTCTTTAATGCATAGAACTTAGGTTCACCATTAGTTTGATGAAATTTCTCAGTAATCTACGGTGAAAACGGAGATGAGTTTTTTGATAATGAGATAAAGAATAAGGATTTTATGTAAATATTTATTACTAATTACTATTTATGTAATAAAATGACAATCATTTTTTTTAGAAATGGTGGACAGCTCGACTATTAAGCGATTTATCAAACAAAACCGAAATAGACAAAGAAACGGTAAGTGATAACATGAGAGAAACAAGCAATCAGTTTATTTCATAAGGGTATAGCGTTTAACTCTGGATGTTACTGTTATCCGGTGGAATTACGAATATTCCGTACTGAGCAACACCATAATTGAAAAGCTGTTCGCTAGCTGACGCTGAATCTGATAAATATGCAGATCTTTAGGCGAATCGAAATTTATAGGGTTGAAAAAGAGAGCGTTTCGAAACGCCTCAGATTGAATAAACGCAATTTAGCTAAATAGAGGTAGTATTTGAAAATTTCAAAAGAATGGAGGATATAGTAATGATATCAAACGGAAAAATCCACCTGTCAGTTAAAGGATGCAATTTATTGGCATGATTAGAAACAAAATGATTAGTGGAAAGAAATGAAAAGATGATTAAAGTGACTAAATTCGTTATTGGAAGATCAGAGTCCATTCGCTACGAGGGTTGGATTAGAGAAACCTATTAGCATGATGATTAGCTTTCCGGATTGATGGTCGACAACAATTCTTTTCAGCGGCTCTTACGTTTTACATATAAGTCAGCATTTCATGCTTACGGCGGAAAAGTGCTCTTTTATGTTTCAAACGTTCAATGTATTGAAATGGACATCAATCTGGAAGTCTTAGAACCGCTCGCTCAA